AGAGAGGACGAGAAAGAGGCGGGCGCGGGGACGATGGCTGGAGCAGTTCGAGAGGTGCAGTTGGTTCGAAGATGTCCAACAAGTCCGATTCGAGCCCGGAATGTCCGTTGACATCGAGGACACGTTGGAAGCGGTTGTGCGGCGGCGTTGCTTACTGGAATAGGACACATTTGTCAGAACTTCCAGTCCCTCCATACGCGTTAGCTCAGTGTCAACAAGTTGCAAGGTTACATATGTGACTGGTCTCTTCTGACAAAATGCTGGTTGACGTTCAGGAAACAAGTATAGCACGATTTGAGCGTATGTTCAACGAGCCAGCTCGTCTTGAAACACCTGGATGAACAGTTGGATAATATGTGACTGTCCTCTCCATCGATCGCTACCGTTTCGTCATATAACTTTCCCGTCAGCCTCACTTTCCCTGTCGATTCACTGCTGGGACCGCGCGAGGCTTGTCACTAGCCTTGTGAGAGCTCGAAGCCAGCCGACGCCGCTTTTTCGCTGACTGGCTGCCGGACAGTAACTGAGACAGAGGCGGACGCACACGCGCGCTGGGGCAAATCATCTCAACGACGGACATGGGGCAAAAAACTAGCCTGGTGAGCTAGTTTGTGGCAAATGCTTGCCGAGCTGCTTGTACGCAATTTTTCGGCAGTAAAGTTTGCCCAAGACAATCCGTCCTCCCTAACTGCTGATTGGGGAAACTCTGTGTTTTCGGTCGTACCACCTCCGCAAATGTCCTTTGCGGAGTCTGCAGACACAACCAGGAAACTACATCTGACTGCAAACAACGCGGAGTAGTACATCAGCCAGACCAACCCGTTTACTCAGGTTAAGCCTGATAATTTTAAGCTTAGACTTGATGATCTTGAGGATCGCGATCATGGTAGCACCTCCAAAGATAGCAGAACACCGCAGTGAATCTACAGCATGCGCTGAGGGATAATGTTGGTGGCGCCTTTTGAAACTAGAGTAGCCGCTGATCGGCAATCCTGGGTCAATCCTACTTGGCTTTGTCGAAATCTTTGTGTCGGCTACATATGATGTGTACTCGCGTGCCCATGAAACGGGCCATGCGATATATGCGCTGGGCCGACACGGGTGCTAAATAGGGATCACAAAAACGTTATTGGAATGCGCAGCCATAGCGAATCCCAACAAAATGAGTCCGGCGGCATATCCATGTGCGGGGCCATGCCTCGTGAGTTTGCACTCAGACGACGTCCTTTTGATATGCAAATCCTGGTTAGTAATCGTTCCGGACCAGGGGAGGTTGTGGCACACCAGGGTACGTGATTCCTCTGTGCCGTCTACCTGCGCCCTCTCTCGCCCTCAGTCTTGTTGACTCTGTCGTGACACCGGGTCCAGGTGGTGGAGAAAGGGGTTGGGCAGATACTGCGCAGCTCTGCCGTCATTAAAAACTAATTAACACGCAAATCTCTATCTTTGGTCTCACCTTGCTGTAGGAAACATGGTGGACATAGTCGGTAACGACAGTCTAACTGTCATTTGCCAAAAACGGTCTGGGTTCTGCAAATTAATTTTCTAGATCACAGGTATTCGCAGGCGCACAGTCCATTTGGTAGTGTTTGGGCTGGATGATCAGTTTTCTAGCACAGTCTCTGAGGGGATCGTTCTTCCCCAAGGTGCCTCTAGGTTGGTCGTTGCCAGACGAAGGACGTTATGTTAAAAAGCTGTCTAACGTACTTGGTTATCTTCTGCCGATCTAATCTGAGTCATATAGCTTGCATCGTCCTAGGACCATTTCATGACAGGCTCTGTCAAATCTAACACGAACGCATTGTATCCACTAAGTTCGTCACATCTGTTGTTTAGGTGGGTCTACCTCAGCACGATTGCCGTTACTATGAGAAGTTGCAACAGTGGAACCTCATTTAGCCTCATGCCGTGTCAATCTCCAATGAGTGTTTTCTCCCACCACTCTGGTTCATGCGTACATGGATTTTTTGATCAGCAAAACAATTGCTCGAGAAAGGATGCCAGCAGTTTGGCCTTCTACTGTAAGCCAACGATTCCGCATTACTGCTTCCTGAAGAAAGCTAACCTGTCAAAAATTCCATTTTAATAGATTCAACAAAGTTGTCGATATGAGTGCATTTTGGCACTTTCGTAAAGCACGCACTTTGTACACCAACCTTGGCACACAAACTATGACACCAAACGTTGAACATATTGCACAGTTGCAAAGGCCTTTGTCCTCAAGATGAATAACACACACATTTATAACGTCTCACAAAATTTGTGACCTCCCGCAACGTGGCAGTCTTCTCAAAAAAGTAATCTTCATAAGGGCAAAACATTTGATGCAATAGTCGCGGTGGACACACACGAACTAGTAAACAATTCATCGAGACGATGGGCTTCAATTATCAGACCACTGGGTTAAACACCAATAGTCGGATTCCAAACCCTAGAATATGCACCAAATTATTCACAGTCCCACTGACCATGAGTACACTGAACTTGCGCTGGAAGCAATACCTAAATCGTTGCTGAGTTATGCACTAACTGGTTACCCAAGACTGATTCAGTGCCGCAAAATTGTATGGCAACAGTTTGCAATCCTATAAGAGGTCACCTAACTAGAGGGTTTTAATGTGAAATCTCAAAGCTATTGTGAGGACGTTGCCATAAGACCTGGCCGACTATATATCAAGCACAGCGTGAAGGAATCAGACAGAACTCGGCAGTCGTCACGCAGGTTTTATTATGCCGAATTATAGGCGGGAAGGACGATAATTCGGCCCTTGTACATTCACGTGTTGTTGTTTTAAACCTGTTTTTGATGTCCGTGTTATGCCCCTCACCCACAGATCGGATTCACACTCCACTAACCCTAAACTCTCTTGTGACATTTCCAACAGTCCTGCGCGTATCTGGCTGCCTGCCCTATTGCATCTCCTCAAATAGCCATGTGTAAACTCTACACAGCCCATTTTCCATGGACCCAGAAGGCTAAAAGGCGCGTATCACTCATACTCGACACGGCTGTGACCACATATAATGTAGTTAACCTTTATCGTGCTGCGGGTCGAGCTATTCCATCCATGACGGTCTGTGGCAATAGATCAGGAGAGTTCTACCTCTTTTTTGGCGACGTGTGCCGAACACCGAAGGTCTGATAGACACCTATGCGTCGAAATTGACCGTATTGAATTGGCTTCCTCTCCAGCGTCTCCATATGGGAAGCGGCGCCTGATCGAGGGCAACAGCACTGAGACGACGGATAATGTGTGATGCTTTGCTTTAGTAGAACTTAGCGAGAAAATGGTCGTCTGGTCTCCAGAACACCAGCGGCATGCGAAGACGTCAATTAAGGAGTTGTTGACGCAGTGATTCAACTGTTACCTATGGTATTCTTAGTATCTAGCAGCACACTGCTTAGGAGTTATCTGTCAACTGTTGCGGTTTATATCCCAGCCGGATTAGTTGGCAATGTCCTCACGTTACGTGGATCTATTTAGACGCCGATGAACTATAAGGCAAATGTGCAGAATACTGGCCTTCAGGCGATAGTTACTATAGATAGCAATGCTTGCATGACATTCATGTGACGTCTAGTGATTCAATATCTTAAAGCTAGAAAAGATGATATGACGAATAAACGCTACTTACCTAACTTTTATGCTCTGACGGCAGGCCCTTTTGCGAGTGACCGGCAAATGGCTTCATGTTTTTTTCGATTTTCGAGTTGCAAATATGCACCCAGCACTGCCAGTCAGGTGCACTGTCTCCGGATTTGTCGCGCCATGTTATTAAACGTCTCATCGACATTGCTCAACTGCTAGGCCTATCTCTAATAGAGGAGACAACCTGAACTTGAGCAAGTCTGTTCTTATTACCTATCGAAACCATGGGATGGGGACGCTTTGCGCGCTTTGTGTGCAATCGAGGACATCAGTGGAACTTGGAAAGTTTATCACTTAGCCTTTGTCCAAGCACTTTTTCATCTGGTATTAAGTGCACCCTCTCCGGAGTTATTAAGACTACTTGGAGCACCCCAAACATTCGGTTTACGCGTGCAATTCTCCGATAACTGGACAACTTTCCACGATTTGGCCTAACTCTGCACCCATTCATCGCCTCCGCCGTTTTCACGTCCGTCCTTCCTAAGCCATCCACCGTCGGTACCACAATTGACGTAGCCGTGACTGCCGCTAGTTTTCGCATCATTAGACCGCATTGTGCCCTCCCACACACTTTACAGGCGCGACCTTCCACTCTTTAAACCGGCGTCGCTCCTTCACAATCACAATCGCCCGAAACCCAAATCTACTGCATCTTCTTCGACCTCTCACAGGGAGTTGTCGAGCCCACATTGCTCTGGTCACACTGGTGAAGAATGGCTGCAAGCTAAGACTGTTAGGACTAATGTCGGTTGAATGAGACCTTTCTTATTCATCAGAGGGATGACTACATTGGTCTGCTAGCAGAAACCACTTGTTTCACCGGCACTGGTCTGGAAAGCTGAGGGTTGCTACAAACCCGTCTCAAAGTAACTTATTTTCCCACCCGCCTTTACCACTTCGATCCCTTTCTCTAAAGTGTTTGAGATTTTGGACGGTCACACCAGACCTCAGATTCCTTGAGATGACCCATTTGATTCTTTGCAGATTGTATCATCTCGACTGCATTTACTGCAAGTCGTGGCCTAGCGTTCATAAGAGGACAGCCATTCACGCTGCAAAATTTCATATCACGTGCGAGTCTAGCACAAAACTGGCCCAACATACTTGGGACAGTGTAGTCGACTTACGTTTCAGTCTGACCGTTGTTTGAGCGTCCTGTGATGATAGAAACAGACATTTGCAACGAGCGACCTATTCGGCGTACGGAATTTAGCGGGTCTTTCACTACTCATATTAATGATGGCCAAAAGGCTCCCACGTAGTTGCAGCACATTTCCACATGGTGGTATTTCAAACCTCGGTAACGGTAAGGTCACATATTGAAGTGCGTCTGATTCCTTTCTGGGGTTTGTCGCATAAAAACTCCCCCAGCATATAATCAGCATCAACGGTTGAAGCGCACGCCGTCACAATTGTGTCGCTGACAGCAACACGACATAGACGCGTCGTTACACTCCCAGTGTATAAGTGAAGACCCCAGCACCATGTTGACTAGCGTTCTCGGTGACGATTAATCATACAGTTTTCTTCGGACGTAAAAGCGCGTCTCAGGGCCTGATACTTTAGTATCTGACTAGCACACCCTGGAGCATCAGGCAGTGCCAGCGTTGTACCGTGTGGACACACATGGCTAGGCTCTGTATTGTGGTTCAAGAATATTTCCCACTTTCCCGTGTGCAGAACTCAGTTCTTAATTGTTAACCGACCGTATAACCGACTGGCGGATGCAAGAGGCTGATTCCGATGTCACTGTCCACTCCTCAAACGCCAGATCACGAGTTGTCGGAAGCCGAAATCACTTCCGACTCTGGGAAGGTCTATCGGGAACAAGCTTTGTTACGGGCTTAACCCCACGTAAACGCGCGCTTTTCCGCCTGGCAGACTGCTTAATAGTTCACACGGAAACGTACCATCATGCAGTAAAGTGACAACGGAACTTTAGGGCGCTTGATTGCGCGATCTCAAGTAGCCTGACTTCAGTATCTAGTAGCGTCTTGCGAGCCGACTGTTCACTGACCATTACGAGTCCCGTTCCCACCTTCGCCATTTATTCGCTTGCATAAACTTCCACGTTCTTGGATATCTCAGGGTTCCAGGCTGCCATATTCGACTGGTGACCAAACAGTGCAAGTTCACATCATTTGTCTGAGGCCCGATTCTTGCAGGGCTCCCCAAATTACTTTCGCACAGAACTACCTTCTACACCATCCACACTGAGGGCATCGCGCAGTCTTCCTTTTTTCGTCTGGTTAAATCCTAGCCGCCCAGTCCGGGGTTGACTAGCTGACGATCGTCAAGTAAACTCAAGTAGACATTTCATTATCTCCCGTTTTTATGCTTAACCCTTCTCAATTGTAATTAACCTCCGATTTTGTCGTCGGTGCCATTGTTGTTTAAAGGAAAGGTGATTTCTTTGCACGCGTTTGGTGTTTGACGATGTCGTTCTTCCCCCCTGTTGCTCTAAGTGGATCCTCAGAGATCGCTGTAAATTATGGTTTTTTGAACTCCCAGATCATGTCTGCCAGCAAGAGGAAGTCAGCAGCCGAAGACGATGCCTCAGATTCTTCCTTATCTAGTCTGGAGGTGAGACTTACCCCATTAACAACTTCCTCCACAGGATGAACCACCACCAAGCAAGCAGGTCAAGTCTGAGACTTCAAAGAAACTACCAGATGTTAGGAGAGAAACCTCTGCCAGTGGGGACAAGCTAATCGACCTGACCGGAAAGAAATACGTCACTGTGCGCAATTTTAAAGGCCGCATTTTCGTTGATATCCGAGAATACTATGAGGACAAAAGTGATGGCGGGCTGAAACCTGGGAAAAAGGGTTCGTTGCATACTTTCACTCTGCCTATCATTCTTCCTTCCAGCCTGCTCTAGTCGAATTGGAAGTTTTATTGAGATTTCTTGCGTCTGATGTGAATGGACTTCTGTGTGACGTTCCGAAAACGGGTCACACAGTAGATGCGCTAAACCAACGGGGGGGGGCTAAGTCGGAACGTTATTAGAATGCGTACCCATAACAAATGGCAACGCGCCCAGGTGCAGACCTTCGGCGAGCCGGTTGGTGTCCGAGTGGTCCTCCTTTTTGTTGTGTAGAATTCTGGTCATTGTACATGATGGACAATGGGGTGCGATGGTACGCCTAGGTGCGGGTTTCTCGCCGCGGCAGCCATCTGCGCCCTCTCCTGACTCTGCACACGAGGTCCATGTGGGGGAGGAGGAGAGGAATCGGAAGTAAACGGACTTCCGGATCGCTCACTACTCAAGGACCTCTACCAACTTAACGGACTCCGTATAAGGGAGCGCAATCCTGAATCTGAACCATCTAGACTGCGACGTAGGGGATGGACAGTTTTGATAGTTAATTCTGAACTAGCATAGCTCTGCTGAATCAAGACTTTATTAACTGAAGTATGCACCCTAGAAATCGACGAATCAGCGCCTTTTTGCAATGAGACAGAAGCCTCTTCATGCGCTTCGAAGGAGTTCTAGAATTATGCAATCGAGGAATTCCTCAAAGACTTTGCTGATTCTAGTTTTATTACAAAGGGTTCTTTTCTCGAACAAAGACGTTCGGGCGTTTTAAAAATTGTCAGTCACTATTCGATGGGTCTGATGATCATGGCATGTGGATAGTGCCTCACAGTCCAGCAAATTCACCTTCTGGATGGTGTCACATGAAACGTGTAGCTAGGAATTGTCTTGCTGTTGTACTGACAGCTTCTAGTGCATTTCGTCGATTGCGCGGCGTGGTTGCTTTGCCCTCCGCCTGGCAGAAAACAGCTAGACGGTGATCATGACCGCCCGGTTTCGGTGGCGTTTTGGGTTTCATTCGTACGAAGCCATTATCCCGCCTGGAGACGATTTTCAAAAGGACATAGTTAAAATACAGAAGGGAGAATAGCCCTCCTGTTTGGTACAGCTTAATATCTTCCGGATACTTTTTCCTAGACTAGTATCCATCTCCTGTACCACTGACAGGGTTCCCTACGTAGTCTTCGAAGAGGGAAAGTTAAATACCGTCTCCCGACATCACCCGTTTCGCGCTGATAATACCGCTGCTGCTAACGTTTCTATCGCCGACTATATCCGTCAGAAGTTTGCAGGACGGATGCCCCGGTGTTTTGGTTATTTGCCTAGGCAGTCTCGGCGCCGAGTATGGAGAGAGGAGGTCGTTGCGCTTGTTGATTGATTGAGGATAGGAAAACCATGACGCAGGTTAATAAACCTCTTGTTCCAGCGACTTTGTCTCCTTCTTCGCGACTTCTTCCTGGAACTCGCTTCTTCGCTTCTATTAGGAAGTAAGGAACTCCAGGAAACAGAGTTAAAACATACTAAGAACCAAACAGTTTCCCCACAAGACCATAGCAGTATGGAGCTTCCAGATGACAGATGACTAAAAAGATTAGTGGAATCGCGACTCGCATTTGATGCCGCACATTATAGAAACAGGAAGGTAAGATGTGGTTATATAGTCCCACCTGATGGACACAATACTATTGATCTACTTAATTACCCTGAGTTGATGTGATTACGTTGGCATGGTGTTGCGGTGTATGTTCTGCTGGCGGCCTTATTTCTTTGTTGTTTTGTCTACCTTTCTTGGCCCAATGCCGGTGGTCCTTCTTGAATTTCGGCCTGTCGTCTCCTTCCAACTTTCGCGTTGGATGTTTTAGGGTTAGAGTTTAGGGCTGTGGTTATGGGTTAGGGCAACTATTTCTCAACCACCTAAAAATACATCCGCGCATTCCCAGTAGCTTCACTTTTGCGTACAATTACTTGACCTCGTCGCCTGTGCGTTCCCCTGTCCCACCTGTAAAAACCCCCTATTACCACCGGTCTCGTATTACAGGTGGCTGGGATTTGTTTACCTCAGCTGCGGCTACATAACCACATCTGACCCACGGGTCGACTAGGAATACCCAGTCGTAAGCCACGGTAGTCCCCAAACCAAAACGGATACTTCGGCCAAGTCATTTGTTCAATGGTTGGTTCTTTGAGTGTAAATTGTCATTGAAGGGCCGCGCTCTTCTCCAGCCAATAGTGTGTGATAAGCGCTCGGGGTTCCTATCTACGTGCCTACCAAGGGTATACTAGTTTCCGCTCGCCGATGATGATTCGTGAGAGCACTGATGACCTCCTAGTCATTATCACTCCATAGTAGTCCGTCTTTCATTGTATGTTGAACCCTTATCACTCCCAGTCGTCAAGTTGCTGCGTTAAAGGTGCCAACTCTATTCCGGGTTGTGTAGGCCTATATTGCCATATTCAAAAAGCACTGACGTCAAAGCCAAAGATGGCCTCGGTGACTATTTCTGGCATACTTGCATTCGTCAGCCGGGCAGATCCAGCTGGTCATTGAACCTAGCACACCCCAACAGATGAGCCACGCGCTCACACTGTTAACCGCGATCTGGAGTACTCAGGGTCGCCTAGCTGTGGCATTCACTGTTCCGGCCTGATTGTAGGATGAAATATGGACTTTCCGTTATACCCCGAGGCTCCACTCTAGAGCCGTGTGGACATGTTATGCGGCCACTTACGGTGACTTTGGACTGGGGGACTCGCGGGCAAAACGGGACGTCCATTTTTCATTTTGCGACCAGGCCAGATCGGTCAGCGTTGTTCATTTTTAAATGTTAGCCCCTACTCTGATAGAACCATGAGCGCGATCCTCTAGACCAGCCTTCATTTCTCTCTTTCACTTTCCCTTTCAGGCATTTCATTGAACGTGGAGCAGTGGGACAAACTGAGAGAAGTCATGGACGTCTTGAACGCGGATATCAAAAAAATGTAGACTATTCCGTCCACTTTCTCAGGACCTCTGGTTTTTTTTTGTACGCTTGCGGTTCTGCTCGTAAAGATTCTTATGGTGGCCTTTTGTTACTGTACGCCTTTTTGAGAATTGCTTGTGGACCTGGGTCTCGCTAGCTACGGACATTAGAGTGCGAATAAAGCAGAGTCTCGACTTGAGACTCGTGTTTTTTCTCAGTCTGGTGATCATGCTTCATTCGATTCGTAGCGACCTACGGCGGCCAGCGACTCATGTGGGTGAATTATTCCATCATGTATACGACCTCTGCTCCCCTTGCATACTGAGGGAGGTAGAAGCGATCCAGGAGTTTTGGGGAAGACGATGTCGCAGTTGGACGCATCCCAATAGACTCCAATTTTGGGAATGCCCCCGTCTTGGTGTCTCGGGAATAGGCATGACGTCATGATTTGCCCGTTATGATCTTAAGTTAGCGTGTTTTAAACTGTAGTGGCGGATGCGGCCGAGAACAGATATCAGTAATGTGAAAAATGGCTGGCAAATGAGTCCATCGTGTGGGTAAGACTGGATCAACGTTGGCATCGTCCACTTTTTAGCGTGAAGGCACCTGATACGGACGGTGTGTGTGAGAGCAGTGGTGAAGGAGTTCTTCGCTGATAGTGTTTCTCCGCAGTCTTTCGTCCGTGTCTTTTCTCCCTGCCTCCCACACTACGCTAGTCCCGAAGAAAAGTACAGCTCCCCCCTCCTTGGCAGGTCGCCGTGCGTGTTCTTGTTCAGATTTCTCAGGACTTGTGATTACCCCCGTGTCTTACCGACCATTCCGCCGCAAGATGCAACCAACGCTCAAGTGGATCACTATGAGAGCAACTTGAAGAGTTGGGACATGGGAATAGGTACCTATTATGGGATTTGGCGCCACGCCACCTGCATTACGGGCGTTCCTATTGGGTGGTCGAAGTCTCTGCAAGAGCTGACTGTTTGCCTAACTTGAGTGCCACAGAGACACTGGACGCACAAGTTGATTTCAGCGCCTGGGCGTTGGGGATCCGCTCCCTCCGCTTCACTTTCATAATTTGAAGTCAACCGGGAGTGAAGTGGTTTAACTGCTTAGTTTGGTCCTGAAGGAAAATACTTCATGAATCGAGGCGAAAATCCAAATTCCAGGTGCATACATAAGTAAAAAAAGAAGACTGATCGACCACTGAGACTGTTTATCGTTCTGAGCGTTCTAACCCCATGCAGGAATCTGTTGTCGGGGGTAGTATCATCTAAGCCGACGTCTACCCGGTCTTTCCCAGAGGACTCGAACAGCAACACCTCCACGGATATGACATTCTCTGCCAGACATTAAGGACGTTTCAGAAGTGGCCGAGCGCATTGCTGCGAATAAGGTGTTTGAATCGCACACCGGCCCAAAGCCACCATGCGCAGCAGGGTTAAGGACTGGCTAAATCCCGAGGAGTAATCTGGGGTGGTGTGTCGCGTTCCATGCCGAAACAGTTCTTGTTACTACACCGGTCAGACTGGACGCATGCTCGCGTCGCGCTTACACGAACAGAAGCTGGCTTTGCGACGAATTATCACAATTGGCCGTCCACACCTATGGAATGGGTCATGAGTTTAACTTCGCAACCACCAGGATAGTCGCCCACGCCGGAAACAAAACAGGCCGAGAATTGATTGAAGCCTGAGCCTCAGGTGAAAACTAAGTCAAACGATTTATCGATCTAGCGCCGGCGTACAAAGCCCTGCGCAGTTGCCTCCGGTCTTGCGCCATTGGTCGGTGATTGGCTATTACGCCCTATAATTGCCGTTTGTCCTGTTATAGCTACAATATCTGGTGATGGACTCCTACAGGAGTTCGGAAGCTCAGAACAAACTGTTCCGGTGGTCGGCTAGTCTTTTAACACTTTTCATGTTTTGGAGCAGTAGAGAAACACGATCAGAACAACGGCTCTGTCCCAATTCAGCTTTATATCGATGGAAGGTACCGTGGCGGTTCCATTCGAAAGATTTAAGTCTGCTGATGGTCTGACTGTGGGGAAGAGAGCATACCTCTTCTGCTTGAAAATTTACCCACACTGGTAATGTGCTGAACACTGACCGAGATTGGCGGCTCAATGTATCCAGCAATCGTCGCTGGATCATGACAGTTCGACCATCGGTTTCGATGATGTCCACCGTGTGCCCCACAGTTGCAGCAGCAATGGGAGCAGGGACGGTGACTTACGCAGGGGTTTATAGTGCCAGTAGACTTGCGTAGCATCTACCTACACTCTCTCCTCCTCCTCCCACGCCTGGACCCGGTGTCAAGACAGAGTCAAGAAGACCGGAGACGAGGGAGGCCGCAGGTGGATGGCTCGGACGGATCCTCACCTTGGCGTTCCACCACACCCCCTGGTCCACACAGCAATAACCAGGATTTCAACCAACACAACAGAGATTTGGAGGCTGGCACGGCCGAAGCCGCACCTGGGCGTGCCGCCAACGCCTGGCTCGGATCCCACACTGTGGTGGGAATGCCATAAAGGCCACATTAAAAAGGAGCCATTGCAGCCTGACTCTCAGACCGCCTCCAGTGAAGGATGAGGTCCAAGTTACCCCGTCAGTTGGCAACCTTCCAAGCCACGGCTTTTAGCGCACCGTGATAGCTTCA